GTTGATTGTAAATGGGTATTTGCTCTTAAAAATGACGAATTTGGAAACCCATCGAAATATAAAGCTCGTCTTGTTGCTCGAGGTTTCAGTCAGGAATACTTGAAAGATTATAATGAAACATTTGCACCAGTTGCAAGAATTTCAAGTTTCAGATTCATAATTGCTTTTTCAAATCAATTTAATCTTCTTGTTCATCATATGGATGTGAAAACTGCTTTCCTGAATGGAGTGTTAAAAGAAGAAATTTATATGAAAGTTCCTGAAGGGGTTAAAAGCAAACCAAATCAAGTTTGCAAAATGCATAAAGCTTTGTATGGATTGAAACAAGCAGCAAGATGTTGGTTTGAAGTGTTTGAAAAAGCTCTGAAAGACATAGGTTTTAGAAATTCGTCAGTAGACCGTTGTATTTATATTCTAGATAAGGGTGATATATCTGAAAATATTTATGTTGTACTTTATGTGGATGACCTAGTCATTGCCACTGCTGAACATGAAACAATGTGTAGTTTCAAGAATTATTTAGCGAGTAAATTTCGCATGGTTGATTTAAATTCTATCAAACTGTTTCTAGGAATTAAATTAGAAAGAACAGAAAATAGAATAACTCTAGATCAGAGTGCATACATAAAAACAATTCTACAGAAATTCAATATGTATGATTGTAAATCTGTCAGCACTCCTCTCCCAAGTAAATTAGACTATAAATCACTGAATTCCGAAGAGAAATATGATAGCCCTTGCCGAAATCTTATTGGTTGTTTAATGTATGTGATGCTGTGTACTCGACCCGACCTTAGCACAGCTGTAAATATTTTGAGCAGGTACCTAAACAAAAATAATAAAGAACTTTGGCAATGTCTGAAGAGGGTACTTAGATATCTCAAGGGTTCAATGAACTTGAAGTTGACCTATATTCGAGGTGATTATGAAAATATTTTGAGCGGATATGTTGATTCTGATTGGGGTGGTGATGATGAAAATGACAGAAGAAGTACAACTGGTTATTTATTTAAATTATTTGAGCGATGTGTGATATGTTGGAGTACAAAAAGACAAACATCAGTAGCAGCCTCATCCACTGAAGCTGAATATATGGCTCTTTTTGAAGCTGTCAGAGAAGCACTTTGGCTAAAATCATTAGCAAAGAGTATTGATATAAATATTTCAGGACCGATTATAATTTATGAAGATAATAATGGTTGTATCAGTATTGCTAATAATCCAACAAATCACAAACGGTCTAAGCATATTGATATAAAATATCATTTTTCTAGAGAACAAGTTGAAAATGGTGTAATAAAATTTAAATATCTTTCGACAGGTGAACAAATAGCTGATTTGTTGACCAAGCCATTGCCAGCAGTTAAATTCCAAGATTTCCGAACTGGAATGGGTCTTGAAGAAATTATTAGTAAATAAGTTAAATGGTCTGATTAGGTTTTACTGGGTTTCCCTAATCCTGAGCAACAAATGTTGGGCCATATTATACCCCAGAAATACACGAGGAAAGCATGTCCGTTGTCTCTCTCAAAAGTGTTGCAAGGTTATATTACTTTTAGAAAAATAGTGTACGACATATATTTAAGGTAATATTGAATTCTATTTTTTTTGGTTTATGAATTTATTTTTGAGGGGGCGTGTTGGATATACACAGTCCACTGTGTACGTAGACAAAAATGAAATATAAACCAATGTATTTATTATCGTTGAATATCTAGAAATGTCGACTGTGCAGCGCACGAGGGCCACATTAAATTTGTTTATTTAAAATATATAAATGAAAGCAATGTGCATGGTATAGATGAGGAGAGACTGCTTACTAAGCATATACTTATGTACTTAGTTTTCTTAGAGACGTTTTCTATATGATGATTCTCACATCGGCTTGCTTTCCGAGTGGTCTTGATTTGAAGAGAACAATATACAGTTTTAAAGTATAACACACGGACTTGTTATTTCCATAACCAATTTCCATCAACGATAGTCGGAATTGAATCTCGTTGACTTCAGCAGTTGAACTTTCTCTGCAGTGACTCTCAACTCAACGCAGACACTTCATGGATATGAAGCAATAATTGAATTATTGTGATTCGCTTCGAGTAGGTGTCTTTCGCTACAATGTTATGCAGAGAAATACAGGGTGATACCGAAATAAATATGGATGAAACTGTGGATTTCTTTGGGTACGCAGTCAAAGTAAAACAATGTGTACTCTCGTTTCTGTTCAAGCTTTCGAGTCTATTGGCTTTTCATCAGGAACTCTATAAAACATTGAAATCTATATCACTAAAACACTTACGGAACATTGAGGTTTCCAGAGGTTTCGTTTTGGTAATCTATAATAACGATTGAATTTCATATCAATTTCAATGTTTTATAGAGTTCCTAATGAAGAGCCAAAAAAAGACTCGAAAGCTTGAACAGAAGAAGAGTACACTATATGTTTTACTATGATTGCATATCCAGAGAAATTCACAGTTTCATTCTCAACTTAGACACTCGTCTAATCTTCTCCCGTACGAAATGAACATGTATATTAAACGCAATAAGCTTCCGAAAATATTTGATTTTTACTAAGTCTTCAAATTAACGAGAAACTTCATCTAAAATTTGTTTTATATGAGTTGGGCTGAAGAACAATTTCAATGTGGTTGATTTCGCTTTTGAAAATTGGCCAGATGATATTGATTTGGCTCTATCATGATGTGATTCGACTATTCATCTTCTGATAATTTTCTGATGATTTGATATATTTGGCATATTTGAAATTAAAATTATAAAAAAAGTGAGTAACAGATTCAAAATCTATCCGCGGCAAGTTTTTGAATCCATCAGTTACAGAATAATCTGAATCAAACACGAAAAAATTATGTTTTTCAGTTTATTAGTATACAAACTTGTCTTCAAAAAGTTTTTTTCTATATTTTTCATTCATAACTAGTATCTTTTATGATGTTGAATTTTTGCCTACTTAATATCCGACAACAAAAGCTCCCACATATCAATTTTGAATATAATCGGAATAAACACAAGACTCATCTGCCATTTTGACGCCATCATCTTGAATTTCTCAATTTTGATGGAAGAATCATAATTTCCGACCCAGAAAACCCCCCGACACCAATTTTGAATAGAATCAGATCCTAATTTCATCAGAACTCGTTCGCCATATTGGATCCGTCATCTTGAATTTTACAATTTTGACGAAAGAATTACAATCTCCGACCCCGAAAACCTCCCAGTTACAAATTTTGAATAGAATCGGTTTATAATTACGAAACTTGTCCGCCATATTGGAGCCTTCATCTTGATTTTTTCAATTTCGACAGAACAATCATAATTGCCGACCCCAAAATCGCCCAGGTACCAATTTCGAATAAAATGGATCATAATTACAATACTCGTTCCCAATATTGAATCCAATTCCAATAATGACGAAAAAATCATGATCGAAAACCCCCAGATACCAATTTCAAATAGAATCAGATCATATTATTTACAGACTCGTTCGCCATATTGGATGTTAACTCGAATTTTCCTATTTTGACGGAAGAAATCATGATCTCCGACCCCAAACACCTCCAGATACCAATACCAATCAGAATCGGACCATAATTAGAAATTTCGCTCGTCATATTCGATTCGTCATCTTGAATTACCCAATTTTGACGAAAGAATCATAAACTCCGAACCCGAAAACCCCCATATACCAATTTTAAATAGAATCGGATCATAACTAAAAAAACTCGTCTGCCATATTGGATCCGCCATCTTGGATCCGCCATCTCGAATTTCCCAATTTTAACGAAAGAATCATAATCTCCGACCCAGAAAATCCGCAGATACAAATTTTTGACTAGAATCGAATCATAATTACAAAACTCGTCCGCCATCATGGATCCACCATTTTGTTTTCTTTCTCTAACAAAGTTTTTATGATGCATAGTCACCAGTATTACATACACCTGCCAAATTTCAAAAAAATTGGACGATTAGAAGAATGTCATATTTAACTTGCCAGAATTGATTACACACAGACAGCGGGACAGGTGAAACTAAATAAAAGCTTGTAAAAATATTAAAACGTGTTGGTGATAAGTTTCAAGTGGAAACTGTTCAAAACTGAAAGTACGATGAGATCAATACTAACACAAACAAAGTAAAAAAATAAAGGATACGATGGTAGCTCAAACACTGTTATCAAATGTTTTAAATTCTTTTGCAATGTTGATAAGAGCACAAAACATGACACATGAAATTTTTGATTTGAATAATTTTGCTGAGAAAGCACCAATACTCAACTTGGCATATTTATTGAGTATGTACAGATAAGTGCACAAAAAACGGCCTGGATTGTAACTTTTGAATTATTCTAGATAGGGTTCTGAAAATAGGTGGGTAGCAAGTATACCAAATTGCTCATTACTTGATGAAACAACCCCATTTTTTGGATTTTAAATGGGACCCTGTATTGTATCCCATAATCGGTTAGGGGTTATCATGACGAATTCAACGATAATCGATATCGAACGATAGGATATCTCGTATCGATGAATTCGTTATGACAATCCCTAACCGATTATGGAAAACAAAACAGGGTGTCTCATTTGAAAATCAAAAGTTGGGGTGGTTTCCAGTAAAACCGGAAGTGATAATACAACAATTGTTTCGTCAATTGATGAGCAATTTGGTATACTAACTGCCCACCAATTCTCAAAACCCTATCTCGAATAATTAGAAAGTTACAGTCCTGACCGTTTTTTGTGCACTTCTCTGTATGACGAAAATTTTGCAAAGATTCAGAATCCTCATTATACTCATTCATAGATGAGATAGGGTTTAACTCGAAAAACTAGTGCTCCTCGGCAGACGTTCGAAATCTACTTTAGCTGTAAGTCAGGCTCTTCCTATCCCTTCTGGGAAGTTGGTTCCCAACTTCGAAGCAGCGACATCGACATACCATTTCTTTCACAAACTTTTACAATGATTTTCCGTTGCAGGACTTGGAGTTCCACGGCGTGATGCGCTTCTACTTCCAGGACTCCGGCCAAAAGGTGGCCACCAAGTGCATCCGCGTCGCCTCCGACGCCACCGTCGATGACGTCATCGGCACTCTAGTGGAAAAATTCCGGCCGGACATGCGCATGCTCTCGGTGCCTTCGTACGCCCTCTTCGAGCTGCACGAGGGCTGCTCGGAGCGCAAGATGGCCGACGACGAGAAACCGTTGCTGGTGCAGCTCAACTGGCACGTGGACGACAGAGAGGGGAGATTTCTCTTGAAAAATGTCGACGACAAGACGGTGAGCATAATGCGAGAGATCACTTTGAAAAGTCGTAGGAAATCATTTGGTAGTCTGAGGAAGCAATAGGAAGTCATTTGGTGGTCTATGAAAGTATTGGAAAGTCATTTGGTGGTCTGGTAGAAGCATTGGGAAGTTATTCGGTGGTCTGGTAGAAGCATTGGGAAGTCTGACCACTTTGGGAAGTCGTAAGAAACCATTCAGTAGTATGAGGAAGCAATAGGAAGTCATTTGATGGTCTAGGAAAGTATTGGGAAGTCATTTGGTGGTCTGGGAAAAACATTGGGAAGTCATTTGGTAGTCTGAAGAAGCAATAGGGAGTCATTTGGTGGTCTAGGAAATCATTAGGAAGTCATTTTGTGGTCTGGGAAGCATTTGGAAGTCCTTTGGTGGTCTGGGATAAGCATTGGGAAGTCTTTTGGTGGTCTAGGAAAGCATTGGAAAGTCATTTGGTGGTCAGGGGAATCATTGGGAAGTCCTTTGGTGGCCTGGGAGAAGCATTGAGAAGTCATTTAGTAGTCTGAGGAAGCAATAAGGAGTCAATTGGTAGTCTAGGAAAGCATTAAGAAGTCATTTCGTGGTCTGGGAAGCATTGGAATCTTGGAAAGTCATTTGGTGTTCAGGAAGAAGCATTGGTAAGTCATTTGGTAGTCTGAAGAATCATTGTGGGGGTCTGAGGAAGCATAAGGAAGTCATTTGATAGTCTGAGGAAGCATTGGGAAGTCATTTGGTGGTCTGAAGAGGTCTTAGGTTACTGGGTAGTCCCAGGAAGTCTTGTTGACTGAGGGAGCCGTGAGAAATCATTTGGTAGTCTGTGGAAGCAATAGGAAGTCATTTGGTGGTCTAGGAAAGCATTGGGAAGTCATTTGGTGGTCTGATGAAGTCTTTGGAGTTACTGGGTAGTCTCAGGAAGTCTTGTTGACTGAGGAAGTCGTGGGAAATCATTTGGTAGTCGAAGGAACCACTAGGAAGTCATCTGCTAGTCAAGAGAGACTTTGGGACTCATTGAATTATCACAGGAAGTCTGGTAGTAGAAGGAAGCGATGGGAAATTACTTTTTCTACAAGCGTGCGTGATTCACCCTATACCCGCACGCAATTTAGTTTGGAAAGTGTCATTTTCCCGCAACAGTGCGGGAAAATTTTCCCACACTAGTGCGGGAAATTTTTTCCCGCACTAGTGCGGGAAAACAAAGATATGATAAAATCGCTAGTAATATAAGTGGTTGGTGATGGAATATAAAAGTTTAAGTTTGTTTGTTGCAGTATTAAGTATGTATGTTCAGAATCATCCATCGAATTGCACTATTTATTGTAAAAATTAAGAAATATTGAGAAATAAAAATTGATTATTATAAAAATCCCCCTATAGATTTGTATCGATCTGACGGGAAACGTCAATTTGTCATGCCAATCAAACCTCAAATAAGTTTGAAATTGTCGAAGTGACAGACACAGCGTTACTGTCATTTTCGATTCAGTGGAAATGCCACAATGTGATCAAAAACTTCTAACTATAATAGGGATTTGATACAGATGCGTTATCACCAACGAAGTCTTAAGAAAGGTATGAGAAGTTATACACGCGTTTTATTGAATGGTGCAACAATAAAGGGATGAAAACACCGAATGAAGAATAGGTATTTTTGGCTCATTTCATAGAAGTGTCTGGAACCTAGAGACCAAACTCCTAATGGGCCTGCTGGCTTCCGCAATGAACCAACATAATGCGTCAAACTGTAAGTTCACAATAGCTATTACTAATAATTAATAGATAGAGAATATATATCTCTTGTTAGTTGTTCCTATTTGCTTGAATAATTAATTGAACGATTCAATCAATTTCCTACGCTTGTAGAAAAAATATTGTTCCTAACTCATGCGGAAAGTGTCTTTCCCGCACTCGACTGCTTGCCCGAACTCCGCTTCGCGTCGTTCGTGTCAACGGCAGTCACGTGCGGGAAAGAATCACTTTCCGCACTTGTTAGGAAAATTACTATTGTGACCTAAGGAAACATTCAACATTTGGTAGTTTGAAGATGCCTCGGTATGGGAATTTTAAGATACTCCCAGAAAGACTTGTAATCTTTGAGGCAGCTATGGAAAATCATTTGGTAACCTAGAAAGCATTTCATGGAAAGTCATGTGGTTGTCCAAAGTTGCCTTGGGAATCATTGGATAAACTGAGGAAATCTTGTGGTCAAAGATAGCTGTAGGAAATGATTTGGTAATCTCAGGAAACTTCGTCATTTGGTTGTTCGAGGAAGCCTTGGGGATTATTGGACAGTCCCCAAGAAAACTTATAGTCTGATGAAGCCTTAAAAAATCGTTTACTTATCTGGGAACGGCTTGGATAGCCCCAGGAAGTCTGGTAGACAAAGCATTGGAAAGTGATTAAGTGCTCTGAAAATGTCTCTGAAGAACCTTTAGTCTAAGGAAGCCATGGGATATCATTTGGTAGTATTGAGTAGTAGTATTGAGTAGTAGTAATAGTATTTTGGTAGTTTGAGGTTGCCTTGGGAATAATTGGGTTCTCCCAGGATGTCTTGCTGGCTAAGTAAGCATTGGAAAGTCATGTGGTTGTAAGAGGTTGCCTGGGGAATGACTGGATTGCCCTAGGAAGCATTGGGAAGTCAGTTGAAAGCCTGAGGGACCATTGGCTTTTTACTCTGAATGATAATCCAACTTTTTTCATAAAAAAATAAAATCACTCGCTATAGTTTCACATATCAAATGGAATGCAATCTCAATTGTTATACGACGCTATACATAGTGGAGTATACTACGGCCGTGCCAAAAATGCTATCTCGGAAACTAAGCGAGATAGAGGTATAGTTGCTTTGGAGAAAATGATCCCCATCGAATTTTGAGCAACTTTGGTTTTTGTGTGTGGTCTGTCTGTCTGTCTGTCTGTACTCTGTGTTAATCATAAATCGATATATCTCCGGAACCCTTCGACATATCGACTTGAAATTTTGCCATCTTATTGTACTCAAAACAATATTATGTCATTAAAATATGAAGGAAATCGGAAAACTCTAAGGTGGTTTTTCCGGGTTTTTTCGATTTTTCACCGGAAGTTCCTTGTAATCACTCTACAAATCGCAAAAGTGGTCCGATCGATTTCATTTTTTGTGAAAAAAACCTCTATCAGGAAGAGACGAAGCCTATTGAAATTGAGCAGGGTCGGAAAATTCCAAGTGGGTTTTTCAAGGAGATTTTCCGAAAAACACGGTTCGCTTTAAAACGACATATCTCGTGAACAAATAGACTAAATCCAAATTTGAGAAATGCACCGTATGCCTCTTTGATGACGCAACAAATTATCATTCAATCATTTTTTCGTGCATCCATCGGAAACTGGAAAAACAAATGAAAACCCAAACATCAAAATTTGAAATCCTTTTAATTCAATATATATCGAAAACAAATGGAAAAATCGAAAATTATCAAGAGTGCAATGTTATCCACTGGAACATTCCCTACAAATCATTTTCCATAATTTTTTCTGTAAACCCAATAGTACAGGAAATAAAGTGAAAAATATGAAAAAAAAAATTTTAACGACCCATAGGGTACTATGAAGATATATTGAAAAACATAGATTATCGATAGATGAAGCTCATCTACCTCCACTGAGGCATGGAATATTTTTTCATTTTGTTGATTGGAAGATGGAAAAAAAGTGTTGAAAATTTTATTCTCAGATAATTCCAAATATCTCGAAAACAACTGAAAATATCTGAAAATGTTATAGAACCAAAATTATTCCTTTTGATAAAATCCACAAAAAATCCTCATAACATTTTTCTCTGAATTCAATAGTTCGGGAGATACGATGAAAAAACTAAAGAATTTACAAGTTCCTAGATAATCACTTACCAATGGAAAACGAAACAAAAAACCAAAGAAAGTAAACAAAGCACACTCGACTGTCTTGATTTTTCTCCCATAAACTACGTACCTAGCTCACTCTACTGTCTTTATTTTTGCCAATAAACTAAGTACGGGCTAAGTACGTAGTTTGTACGAAAAATCTCCAGTTCTCTGAACTTTCATAGCGTCGTATACACATCATTGGTGCCCAATGATAGTTTCAATATAAAAATATGCTCATGATATGGTGCCATGGCCTCTACTTCCATCTTACATGAGCAATGATAAAATAACATCTGCTTTTATAGCGTCGTATAAATTATCTGACCTCTATACTAATCTAATACCTAATAAAAACCACATCTATACTAATCTGATACCTTTCAAAAACTACGTACCCCACTTGTTATTTCTAGGTACATTCGATGGGCTCGATGGACTCGAACGCAAGTTTCCGAAGGAAATTATCGAAGCGCGAAAAAAAGCAACTGAAAAAGCAAGAAAAACTGTCCAGGATGAAAAGCGAAAATGGTGATATCAACGACGACGGCGTAGCCGAAAAATTATATACAGGTAAGTCAAAACTCACCAACTACTAACCAACATTTCAGGTTCTAGTTCTTGTTCTGATTCGGTGGATAACTTTTCTTCTGTGCTTTCTTACAGAACTACCTGAGACTTCATTCACGAGGTCAATATCTAATCCAGAAGCAGTTATGAGACGAAGAAGGCAGCAAAAGTTGGAGAAGAAATTGCAGCAATTTCGATCCAAAGACGGTGGACCCGATACCGGTGAGATATTTGATCATTATTTCACAAGACAAATTATATTGATCACATAGTAAATCAATACAACAAAATTCGCCTGTTATGAAATGCAATTATCTAACTTTTTCGTATGAAACCTGTGAAAAATCTTGTATGTTACATGTCAGGAAATGCAACATGAAGGATTTCCTCACTGATTACATAACTATAATTGTTTCCTAATTTTCACTTCAAATCCTAGTACAGTGTCAGTCTCGATCTGATTGTGGATTGATCAATGTGATTATCTGTTGATGAAAATTTCGCGTTTTATTCTAATGTTAATTGCGTAAATCCGTTTAGGTAATGAGGTAGTTGAAGGTATTTCTAATTAATCTAAAGTATTTTCTCTAATTAGTAGGTACAATTCTTTCGGAAAACGAACGGTTATGCTTCCTTTGGCATTGCTTTCGTTTCGCAATCGCAATGAGAGAAATGTGCAATGATTAAAATTAAAGTCAAGATTTCTCTGAAAATTCGATTGTATCAAAAATCCAGTTATAACCTGAGCTTGAACAATATACAGGGTGTTCGGAAAATAATGTCATAAGTTTCTCATGAGACCAAGAAATAAATGAATAAGCGACATTTCATTTTGGAGTTAAAAATTTTTTTTTCTCGATATCCAGTTCTGAGCAAAACAAAAAAAAACAGTTTAGTTGGTACGCACTGAGCACATATTTTTCAGTACCAGAGCCACTGACTTCCCAACTGTTGATGCAGTTTTTTGAAATAGGTAATCATTCATTTTGGATAGCTTCTTGAATCTTGTCTGAAACGAATTATTTTATCGAGAGTTCAAGCGACCAAAACGTGAAAAAGTAGGGAAGCCACATCTGTAGGTAGATACTGTTACACAGGAATGACAATTGATTTTCAGTACTGTTTTTTTTGTCGAGGTTGTTTAAATCCTTTATTGACACCATATGGGTCCTATCCCCCGTATGATAGTGTGGGACTCCCCTTTTCAGTACTGTACTCGAATTCAAAATCATTATCTCAATAGTTACTCCAGTTATTAAAAAAAAACAATTCCATGTTTCATACTTTGTCGCCCTGTATTGTAACGGGCTTTATTTCTGTATCCCTTACTTTGGCGCTCTGTTCAGGGCGGACACCACTCTGGTATTTGACGTGGGGGGGGGGTTCTCGAGCGCCAGATTGTTTTTGAGGTTGTTTACTCTACCTGCTCTGCACAAAATGTTTTTGTACAGAGGCCCATACTTTTTTCCATCTTCAAACGTGAACTGAAATTCTGCCACATTTCGTCCGATACAACTTTAATTCAAACATCAACTTGTGATACCTGGTTCAATTCAGAAATAATGCAGTGGGACTCATCGAAGCGAACAAAATGTACATGTCGTCATAATTCCATTTGAAATAAGTTGGAAATATCGTTACGTTATTCGGGTGCAGAAGCGAACACGACACTATTTATTTTCGAACTGATTTATTTTAACTAAAGAAACACTAATTTATATCGAACTCATAACCACTATTTATGTAAAACGATTTATATCACGCGGTATATGACTGTCTCTCTGACACTCGCTGCTTGACTGACTGACTGCAGATGTTTGGCCGTCCATATATATGAGATCCCTTGGTAGGCTTTGATTCGAGAACATTCTCGAATGATCTTCCGTACCCTTCTTTCTGTTCTAGAAGCTTCTTAGAACAATACCCCTCTCTCTCTCTAATTGTTCCATCGATTGTTTCCAGAACATTCCAGAATCTTCTTTCACGTTATTTGTCACTGCGGCATATATTGAGTGTTCGGGAATATGCTGGTGCATGTAGGAATCATTGGGAGGTTGGATAACAATCTGGGATGCGTGTTACAGGATGATCGCTGTATACTCCTGTCTTCCTGATGATGTTTCTAGAGCCCCTCTAAGGGATATATCATTACAATATTTTTTTTATGCCGGCAGGCGGCACCCTAAAAATCTACGGCGAGGCCCTCTGCAAAGACGTGCCCTACAAGACGCTGCTGCTGTCGATACGCGACTGCGCAGGCGCCGTGGTGCGCGAGATGCTCGACAAGTACGGTCTGTCGCGCGCAGACCCCTCCCAGTGGTGTCTCGTGCAAGTGACTCAGCAACCGGGCACCCCCGACGTCGAGTACGTTCTCGACGACGACGAGTGTCCGCTCAGCATTCTGATGACGTCGCAGAATAGCGGTGAGTTATTTTTTTCTTGTCTTTATTGCAGTTTTTGATTCGCAGGAAGAGTTGAAGGGTGATTTTTCTGCTCCCAAGAGAGTAACACGTGTTCCTTAATGAATAAACATGCGCTCCTAAAAGAGTTATTTGATATCCTGAAAGTGTAATATCAATGGTATTCTCAGGAAATATTATCTGTGATCCTTAGATAGTGATATATGAGAGTGTTATGTCAGGGGTATTCTCAGAACATGATATTTGTGGTCCTAAGAGAGTAACATTTGCTCCTAAGAGACTCTTCTGGGATCCTGAGAGTGTAATATCAGAGGAATATCTGTGCTCCTAAAAGAGTAGTATCCGCTCATAATGAAATTGGACCCTAAGAGTGTAAGAGTATAGGCTTCTAGAGGAGTAGGTGAAATATTCTATTGTAACTATGTATTGCAAGAATGTGATTGCCAAGTAGATCCTAAGAGGATGTATGGGTTCCAAAAAGTGATTTAGGGTCTGGGACAATAATTATGGGATCATAAGAGTGAAATATGAAGGGGAATACCTGTGCTCCAATAAGAGTAGTATCAGCTCTCAGAATGATTAAATTGGAGCCTAAGAGTGATAGATTATTGTCTTATTATTGTTAGTTGAACATTCAATGATATTGTTTTACAGGATCCTAAGAGGATAATATATGCATCTAAGAGGACAAGACTCTTAGAAGAGTGATTAGAATCCTGAGAGTGTAATACTGTAGGCTCCTAAGAGAGTAACATGTGTTCCTAAATGAATAAACATGCGCTCCTAAAAGAGTTATTTGATATCCTGAAAGTGTAATATCAATGGTATTCTCAGGAAATATTATCTGTGATCCTTAGATAGTGATATATGAGAGTGTCATGTCAGGGGTATTCTCAAAAAATAATATTTGTGCTCCTAGGAGAGTAACATTTGCTCCTAAGAGAGTCTTACAGGATCCTGAGAGTGTAATATCAGAGGAATATCTGTGCTACTAATAGAGAAGTATCCGCTCATAATGAAATTGAACCCTAAGAGTGTGAGAGTATAGACTTCTAGAGGAGTAGGTGAAACATCCTGATGTAAATATGTATTTCAAGAATGTGATTGTTATATAAAATCGTAAGAGGATGTATGGGTTCCTAAAAGTGATATAGGGTCTGAGACAATAAATATGTGATCATGAAAGTGAAATATGAAGAGGAATACCTGTGCTCCTATAAGAGTAGTTTCATCTTTTGGAATAGTGAAATTGGAGCCTAAGAGTGATAGATTATTGTCTTATTGTAAGTTGAACATTCAATGTGATTGTTTTACGAGACCCTAAGAGGATTTAAGAGGATCTAAGAGGATGTGTAGGTTCCTAAAAATGTTATGAGTCTAAAAAATAGAGAGTGATTAGAATCGTAAGAGTGTATTACTGTAGGCTCCTAAGAGTTGTGAGTTGTGATAGACTCATTGAAGGATTTTAAGCAAATGAATATGAACTCCTCAGAGTTTTATGAAAACCTCTAGGATTTGTAGTGTATTCTTAGAATATATTATGCTCCTTAGAAAGTGATATAGGATCCTTGAGGTGTAATATATCTGCTTCTGAGAGTGTGATAATGATTCTTGGGATAATAGTAGTAGTAGATCAGGAGGTACTCCATAGTACAGCTATTTAAGGTCCTAATAGTGTGAACAAATACTTTAATTTGGCAATATGTGACAATACTATTTTTTCATTGATCTCAATTTGAAAATCATCTGCCATACAGATTACTATAGATGCTAGTCTGAGAAAACAGTGTTGCATTTTATAAAGTTCAATTATAGAGTACATACAAATTTTAGTCTATGAAATCTATAAAGGAAATAGTGAATGTAATACAAAATTCGTAGGTTTTGGTGTGAAACAAAGTTCATGAAATATCTGTTCACCTCGTGACATCTATAGAAAAAAGGTTATACATACATTGACTCATTTTATAGGATTCCCACTGGCAGTGCAGGTTACGACATTCCCTGCTGTCGACTTCGTTGCTTATCCGATAGATGGCGCGACATGCTCTACTATGCAATTCGATTTTGCTTTTATATCTTCTCTCTCGAAGTTTTCAAACAGTATTAATATTAATATACTCCAATTCTAATTGAAATAAACGGTTACTAGGCACATGCCTATTTCTGTTTGTGCACACAAGTGAAAAAAAAAGGTTTCTTCTATACGGGGTGGTCCTCAAGTGATTGTAGATATAGAAATATAGTAGATTCTCCATTCGGTAATGTTATGATTTGAGCCTACTTGCCTACAGGGTGTTGAAAATGAATTTTAAAAAACTATTTACCCCAATAACTTAGACGTTGCTGAAAATGTATAGGTACACTGCTGCCCAATAAAATCGTAACGCCTCTTGGTCGAATTGAAATATTTTTGTCTAAGCACATGTACAGAAACGAATTGTCTCCCTCATTAGAATTTTATGACCTGCTTCGCGCTGTGAAAGTATTATATAGGGTATACCCAGCGATATACCCAAGTGTGTTATATCTATTAAGAACGATGAAGAAATATGATTTCATGGGAAATTTGGACGATAAACTAACGACAAACTCTGATTTGACAAAAATTGAATTATACTGATACCGCTAACAATCAATAACGATGATGATGCTTGGTCAGTACTTTTTTCACTCAGCTCCATTAGATGAAGCAGTAAAAATATCACTATAGCCATGTAAATATTGACTCAAATCTTAGAAATATTCAGACTATCTCTTACCACAAACCACAATAAGAAATGAGTTATTGAAACAGCAGGCGGTAGTAATATATATTAGTCCGGGTGCATAAACCGAATTTTGAAAGAGATTTCCACACGAGTCTTCACCATTTTAATGGGCTCCACTGTACATAGAAATTTCGGAGTTGGGCTTTGAAATTCGCGATATTTCATGACATGAAAAACGAGAGACGACGCGTGATCTAATCTAGCTTGAGCAATCCAATGCAACCATACATCATTCGATTTACGTATCCAATCCATTTCCTATTTTTTTAGGACTGGTGCAAAAATATTTCTGATTGTCATTTTCATCAGAATATGAAATTAATTTTTTGAACTGAATACTTACTGTAAATGATAGAGAACACAGTACATAGGTAACTGAAGAATCAGATAATCTGAAGATTATCTTCGAATATTCGCAGTATTTGTTAGACTTGGCTAGATAATAGGTTTTGACGATGAAGATGACAGATGATGTTGAGGTTTGAAAGTTAGGTAAGGGTTCCCCTCATTTTCTTGATGATTCTGTGAACTCTAAGCATTACGCTGTAGCCAGGGCCACAAACTAGTTCGGGTTTTAATAAAATCATCTTGCAAGATATATAAGTACCTACTCAATAAGTGATCATTAGGGACCAGGTGGAACCATTGTCTTCTGTGAATGTGAATACTGTTGTTATTGGTGATATTGATTTTCATGAGGTACTAATTACTTGTTATAAATTTGGCAGCGTCGAAATATGTGGTTATGCTCTCAATGGTTGTTGAGGAATAGAGATGACTATATCAACAAATGTCACTATTGGTGCAAGAAGGTGTATGACGTCATCGAGAGCTGGCGTCTTCATAAATTGTCGATTTTAATTATTGAAAAAGTATTTGTGATAATGGGCGAGAGGATTTGTAATGAATAATTAGCATTCAATTACTACACTGTGTCGTTAGGTACCTAAATTAATTTCTTGCAACACTACTCACACTTTTTTTATGTAAATAATGAGTGTATGCGATGTTGGAAATTGTTGAATTTCGGAGCTTATTTCAAATGTACCGTCATGGTGACTATTTGGCGATACGTCGAATGAATTGTGACGTCAGATTTTATGCTGTTTCGTTATTGGTCAGATAATCTTCCATTCCCACTCACGAAGCAAGATTGGCAAGTCACCAATTATCATCAAGTTATCAAAAAGATGTAAGAGTCCTGTCGTTGGATAAAACATATTAGGAGGAACCCATGATAATGATATTATAGTTCATTCTTGACTCTTCCGAGCAACCAGCATGTCCAAATATTTCTTATTCTCCATAACAAATTATCATGTGAATGTTGGAGACTAGGCAACATTGTGCTGAATGCCGAGAACTGACAAGACCACGCCCACAAATCGTGCGCCATGGTTTGTCTCGTTCACCGATTCAAATGCCCTCTAGTATGAATTAATATAATTATAATTTACACAAATTCATTATAGGCATTAAGCCACAAGTCATGAGGGAACATTTTGAGACTATTGATTTTGTATTGCTCAGTAGGAATATTCCGAATATTACCAATACATAATTGAGAATTCATTAATGTTTGAATAACTAATATTTCTGAAGTTCCCAATCGTATTTCAACACATGACAACTGTGCTATGATCTTCCCCTACTTACGAAATCGTGACATCAGTTTTTACTCGCGGCAAATTTCTATCCGTTTGAAAATTACCGTGGCATTATTGATGATTTTATAGGAACTAAAAATCGACCGAAAAATTCTAAAAAAATACGAAACCGAAAGGTATTTGAGTGATGAATCTATTTGGGAAATAAAAAAAAATTGGTCTCCTCTCTAATGATCAATATAAAGTAGTGGAAACTTCCCCATCTCACTATAGTGTGTACAACCCCATTCCAAGGAGAATCGTTGCTTCTCATACGTATAGATGACATCTTCGTGGAGTACCTTTACTCTAATATCCTAATTCTTTAGCTGGTCACCTTGTATCTCGCATCCGCGGTTGAGGTAGCGCATGCCCTCTCTCCCATCTCTCTCCCACCCTCTTTTCGTCTCTCTCTGCAGAGGCCTGCCGCGATTTCGTTTTCTTCGGCCCGTCTCTCGGCGAGCGAGGGTGTTCAACTGTTTCCAGTGCGTTCGTCGATTGTCCGTGACACATTCGCATATACGTAAACAAAGGGCCAAAAGGTCGTCGTTCCTATAATATATCGGGTAGAAAGGTGGTTGGCCAT